ATAAATTTCATGAGTTATTTTGAGCTCTTCGAGCTTAAAGAGATTGCTTTCCTATGCTTTTGAGCTCTTCGAGCTCAAAAGTCTGATAGAGATTTGATAAGACACTATCTTTTGAATTTTTAAACCGCAATAACTTTTGAATGAATAAACCGATTTTCACGCAGTTAGCATTCGACGCAGTTTTTCAAGCCTTACAAATAATCTTAAATTTTGAATTGATCGCGCTAAAAATTTCGGAGTTATTCCGAAAAAACACTTTTTTCGGTTTTCTTTCGTTCACGATATCTCTCGAACGAATCAACCGATTTTGATCGGACTGGTGGCGATCGACGTAGTTTTTTGAGGTTAAAAGGTAATCAGTGTTTGGAGTTGAATTATCGAGCCGTTTGAAAGTAATTCCAAAAAAACGACATTTAAAAAAAATTTTTTGAGTTTACTTAAGAATCGATTTTCATATAAGGCGCTCGGTATGAGAAAAATAAGGAGAGTAAAACCTACTCATCAAATGGGATAGTAACGTTTTTGGTGCGCATCATTTCTCATGCACCTGTCACTTTTCAGTTGTGTGTGCTCGAAGAGCTCAAAAACGTCATAAGTGCAATTTTAAGCGCTTAGACATGGAATTAGCGGGAAGTTGCAGCGATGGCCTTACGGTTAGGGTCAAACGGTTAGGGTCAACTGTTTTCCAGATTTTTTTACTTATATCCATCGATATTATTTTGCGATTTAAAAATATTAACAAGTTAATAGAGTTAGCTATTTTAGCAAATTAATTGCATAAATAATGAAAATAAATGTATCAGGTATGCTTCTAGTAATATAATAGTTAATTTCATTTACCATCATTTACTAATCTATATATTTGATATAATCGTTCGTCAGGAGTAAACTCCAGTCGTTCATCGGAGCTGACATACACGATTTTTTTTATCTTTTCATTTTGAGTTCACGCATTTATTAATTCAACTAATGACAAGAGAAGTATTTATAATTGACATTGCAAATAGCTTTTTCACCTGTATAGTAATAAACTTTTACTTTCAAAATTATTATTTATCGATGTATAGGCGCATTATGGCAAATGCGTGTTAAAAGAGAAGGCGTAACAGGAACGCTTATCGACCAATAAGATACATATAATTCATGGGGTGGAGCTATGCGCAATACACCCTAAAATATTAGTCGGAAGTTACATTTGCGCATACAGGGATACCGTTTACTCTTTCAGTACAAAGTAGACATAGATAACTTATATTTTTATCCGTTAAAAAAAGAGTGTCTTTCGTTTGGTAGTATATTATTATTGTTAAAGGATTTTGTTAATGAGTAAAATTATTTCGTCTCAAAAAATTACTATTGACGTTGTGATATTATTGATTTTTAGTGATTCTCCATTGTTCAAGTTGTGTAAAATAGTGAACAGTCATCGCAGTGTCAACGCTATCTTACTCGCTATTTAAAATTGTAGAAATAATTATTTTAATATTCTTAAATCATAGTAGATATGTTTTAATTATTTAATACCTCAAGAATGAAGTATAGATTATCTTCAATTTTTCTTCTCTATAATGAAATGATAAATAATTATTAATGTTAAATTAAAATTTAAATCATGGTGGAATTCTATCCCATACTTTTCGAATCGACTACAAAACAACAAGGTTCAAATCACCGTCTATCGATAGAATCAAAGATGCCATTTCGTTCATCAAATAACTGTAATAATGGTACTAAAAATTTATTAAATTATCGATATGATTCATAGTTAATCGCTAAATAGTTTTATGAGATTCGTAATGAACATACAAAAATATTCAACAATGCGAGAATTAGTCGCATATTTCAACATAATATCCTCGTTGATTAGAAATTAGAATATTTAATGTTTTACTAATAACTTCAATTAGTAATAATAAAAAAAATTCATAAATTTTTCAATCAGACAATTTAAACGATATTCTTTTAAAATAATAAACGCATTAAATACAAAGAAAAGTAACTAAGAAGTTGTTATTGGTTCGATCTAGCATTGTAATCAACGTTATAGATATCATTTATACTCTTCGAGAAACGACACAAATTTATTTGTAAGACTTATAATCCTTGTCTTTTGATAGTTTATTTACTTCATTCGTTTTCGAGCCAATCTTGACAATTTTGAACAGTTAACTAATCTATATATTAAATCCTGATTTTGAGGTGTGAAATCTAAACATTTGCGATTTAAAATATTTAGCCGTGAACGGTAAAAAGTTTTTCGTCATATATAACACAAAAATTTATGTAAATAACTTTCTTAAACAAAATTAGCATTAATTTAATACCATATTTGTGTAACCAACAATAATCATACTTATCAGCCAACTGAATTGCATCCATCTTGAGATCACTATGTTAAGATAGCCCCATCTAATCGTATTCAATCGAATTTAGTATACCTAACTTAATATGTTGTAATTTAATTCTAACTTTTTAATGTAAAATCGTTGAAGATAATCAAAATATATCTTTTTTTGTAATTCTATCTTACATTAACCCCCATCTTTGTACTTCAAATATAATCTCTGTGCAAGTGATCCCGTTCTTGGCATATGTGCTGTTAGATCTGAACGAAAGCAATAAATAAATTGATAAATAAGTATGTAACGAAAAAGTAACACCATTCTGTGTTTAAAGTGGTTACGTGAGTTAATATCTCCGGACGAAATATCTCCGACAAAATATTCCCGCGATAAAATATCCCGTGCTGTTCCTTTTAATCATGATTTTTGGGTGTGATTATTCGAAAATAGACCAATACATACGCTTATTATCGTGATGTGCCCTTTTATCGTGAGTTATATGTGCGTTCATTTGAACAAAGACCAACACATAAGCTTGTTATCGTGTTGTGACCTTTTTTCACGGATTTTGTGTGCACGATTATCTTATGACTTTTCGCACAAAATAATGATTTTCTGATTTATTTCAGCTAATAATAATATATTTGAATTTCAATAGAAATTTCGAAATATTGTGATATTTTGTCCGGGGATGTTTTGTCGCAAGGATTTTATCTGGGGATATTAACACGTGCCACCGTTTAAAGTTACATAGCTCTGTGTTTAAAGTAACACAACTCTGTGTTAAAAGTTATAGAGTTTTTTGTTAATTTCAGGTTAAAAAAGTAATCTGTAAGTATCGAATAACATTTTTGTATAATAGCAAACAGATCGATCGAATACACGGAAAAAAAGTGGCTTTGAAATCTCATTAGATGATACAAAAATTGTATCACCTGTGAAGTCAACAGAGGTGATGCTAAATTTACGCCACCCGGTGATACAATTTTTGTATCTAATGTATTTTAAATGGGACTAACTTGACGGTAATATTCGTATCCTTAAATCTTGAAATAAATTTTTCAAGACAATATTCTTTTAACATTGAACATACAAAGTCATCGGCCATGTTATTTTCACGTTTATTTTATAACAAATTCTTAATAAATAAAAAAATACATACGACACAAAACATCAACAACAAATATAACCTATACAATATTCAGGCGTATACTCAGCATTTCAATGCAGTGGGTAGTTGGCCCACTGCATCGGCTACGTCGTTCGCCTACAGACCTGGTGTTATGGTCTGCGTTTCCCGCGATGCGCCGCTTGGAGGCCACGTAGCAAGCACCGCTATTATTATTATTATTATTATTATTATTATTATTATTATTATTATTATTATTATTATTACTTCATTTATTCTGCAGTATGTGTACGACTTCATACATGTGCTACTCTACAAGTGTGTATTAAATATAAAATTTGAATTTCCCGGGATTTGTAACACTCCGTATATATATACGGTGCTGTTTGTGTACGGAGTCGTATCGTTTGCTTGCTGCACCTTAGCTACATCGTTAGTTTATTATATAGAATTATATGCAATACTATCTCGCAGAGATCTCAAAGTAAATAAATAAAAGGATAACTGCTAGCAATTTACCTTAGTTTATTAACATGTGTGTGAGCACCTTCAAGAATCGAGTTTACTTTTCTACGGTACTAACTTAAATCTCGCGTTGGCTGCATTTTTTACCGCAAACTATCCCCTTGAAGCTACAGTTAATGTAGATATAATTCCAGTGCGCCCTGGCAGCCGTAAATGTAAGCTGTGAATCACTTTTTTTAACTGTAGTTGCGTATCTATAGGCAGATTGATACACATTTTTATTTTATCTTGTCTGTGGCATGTCACTTTTTACATCAAAAAAAGTCAGGATCGAAATTTGTGAGCGCGCTATAGTATGTGCTGATAAAATTTAATAATTTCAAGTAAATAAATGTGATAAGTGAATATAAATTAATTAATACAATAACATAAATTATGAATTACTGTTATAATAAACAAATTAGTGAAAAAAAGTACCGTAGAATTAAATTAAATTTCGCAACCTCAAAAAACCGTTCTGCTTACAGTAAACACAGTCGGTAGTCTGGCGCTCCGTTTACAACGGGATTTTTGAACGGACCTTGGCGCCAGATTCTACCGAATCTGTGGATAACTTTCAAACGGCTCTACCGATCTATTCAAAAAACTAACTCTCAACCTCGAAAAACCACGTCGATCGCCACCAATCTGGTCAAAATCGGTTCATTCATTCAAAAGTTCTTCCGGTTTGAAAATTCAAAAAATAGTGTTCTATGATACTTCTATCCGACTCAAAGAGCTCAAATGCATAGAAAAGGTATCTTTTCGAGCTGGAGAGCTCAAAACAACATGCAGATCGTATTTTTGAACTCGAAGAGCTCAGTAAAAGCGGCCAGGTATTAACGGAATCAGCGGGAAGTTGCAGGGATGGCCTTTAGGGTCAGCCGTATTCCTAATTTTTTTTATAGAATTTAATAATATTTGTCGCTATTCTTGATAGTAAACATGATCATCCGGATGATAAATGTAGGAAAGGATTGAGAAAGGATTGCAGAGAGGATCATCTTAATGTGAGTGTATAGAATATGCGAGAAAAAATTATTAGACAGCTCGGACTGGTGAATCTATATCCGCATTCCAACCAAACTCTATGGGAAGCTTACGGAATATGCTCGTTAAAATTCAACCATTCAATCTGCATGTCATATATGAGAGTCAATAGCCATCAAGAAATACAAGCAGAAATTGAACAAGCTCAACATCGGCTGAGACAACTCCTCGAAGATCCACAGCTAGAAGAATTCAACCCACGAAACCGCATCAAGAGAGCTCCCTGGTTTGGCTTCGTAGGCACAATTGCACGTGAGTTGTTCGGTACCATGGACTATAGTGACAAGGAACACATCACCGAAGAAATAAACAAATTATACCAAGACAACAGGGAATTAGTACACTTATCACAGAACAACACTCACATCATCAGAAGTGAAATAAACGAAATTCTAAAACATGAAGTAAATATAACCGAGAGAATCAAGGAAGTGGTTCGAACATCAGCTTACCTCAAGCAAGCAGTAAACAAACAACTGAGCGACCTTCAAAGAAGTCAATTATTCTCTATGGCTACAGATGAGCATATTCACCTGATGACCAACCACCTAAGGACTCTCAACAACGCATCAAAGACCATAGAAGAAGCAAAATGGGGTAAACTCACCTATTTAACAGTGTCAGCTAAACAACTACATCGAGCAACTGCTGATATGATGGAAAAACATCCAACGTTAAACCCACCTCAACCTCTGGATCACATGGACATCAATACACTAGCCAGAGTATCGACAGTGGAAACAGGAAAAACAAATGGACACTTCCTGATAATAATCACCGTGCCGCTTTTTGACCAGATGCCATGGTTAGCGTACGAACCTAAATCGCTACCAAAACCTGAGAAAATTGGAGACCAAATATCAACATTGACAATTCAGCCAACATCGAAATACCTCGTGTCAGAGCCATCGTTCGATGAATATTTTCTCGCTGGACAGGACTACATCAACAGCTGCAAGCCCATCGGACCAGATATGGCATGTCCGCCTGACTTTCCGTCTAAAACAACTAAGTTAGAGAATGAGGTAGATTGCGAAATGAAATTGTTAATGGATCCAAAAACTGAAAATCTACGGGAATGTAATATAAGAATTATCCAAAAATGTAAGCTGACTTGGATAAAAATGAACGAAAAAAACACCTGGGCATATTCAACGTGCAAACAAGAAACTATTTAATGGTGATGTCCAGGACAAACAGCTGAAAATCGCATAATTAATGGAACTGGACTCATACACATCCAACAAGGATGCCAAGTAAACTGCAATGAATATACAATCCGAGGGATTGCAAGAGAGTCAATAAAAATAGACCTTATTGCCCCGAGTTTCAATCTTTCCTTGGAAACATTAAACTCGAGCCTAAAAATCAACGACGCAGTTCCAAATTTGTTCACACAAAGTCAAGACCCAGCTACAATCATCGACAAATTTGAACCTTGGGGCCAAGAGCTAGAAGAAAATGAAGAAAAAATGTCATTAATAGCTCTAGACCATCAAAAAGAGGAAATCAACCGTAAAATAACCATCGGATCGGTAACAACATTAGGAATAATATCACTCATAATAGGGGGGAAAGCTATACAGAAAACTATCCGCCAATTCCTATCCAAGCCTCGCAAGCCCAGCAGAGTCGATGAAAAACCAGTCATAATTCAACTACGAACTGTTGAAAAAAAGACGTCGACCTCTCAAGAAGTCAAGGAACCACATCCAACAACAGTAACAACCGAAGAAGCTCCTGGGACCGTCGAGAAATCAACAAAGCCGAAAACCTTTCGGCTGAGAGACTACAAATCACCGATTCAGACAAAAACCTCAGCTTCAACTTCGTAGAAGTTAAGGTCATTTATAAAAAAACTTTTTACATAAACAAACTGATAGCTCATTTGCGGAAAACTGAAAATCAGTAACTTGCAAAATAATAATAGAATTTTTCTTTCCTGTTGGAAATTTCGTTTAATAAAAAAAAAAAAAAATTGCCAAAAACGAGCCAACAGTTTGTACAAACCAGTTAATTTTTTTTTCTCTCTTTTTTCAAATATTTTCATATATAGTAGATAGTATAATAAAAAACAGTACGTTCCTCTAAAATTTTGAAAAAAAAAATGTTTTGCTGCTTTAGGACTCACAAGACCGAAGATAATAATATCTCCGGCCTTGGGGGGACGAGTGAGGATAGTGCGAAACCTCGATTTAAAATTTTTTTTCTGAAAACAAATTTTTTTTTTAATCCATATTTTATCTATAAAACTCTTTCATTCTACTATCACTATGTTTATATTTTATTATTATATTATTATAAGTAACTATCATTATACCTTACATTCTTATATACCTATTATCATCATTATATCAAACAAATTTTTTTTATATACAGTCGAACCTGGATAAGCGAGAGTTCAAGGGAGCACAATCTCATTCTCGCTTATAGAGGTTTCTCACTAACCCGAGTTTCTCGCTAATGCAGGTATATGGGTAGCGTTTCTCTCTTATAGAGGTACGCAGCAATAACAAGTCACATTCGACATATAAGTATTTTAAAAGAGTAGGTATCAAGATGCTTACGAAAACAAAACAAAAATTCATGCACTATATAATTTTATTTTATTTAGAACTTATTTACACTCAGAAAAATCCGTCAATTTCGTTTGGGTTTCTGTTTTTGTATTTTGAAAGTTTTTCTCTAACTCATAAATTTTGTCGAATATTGCTTGATCAACAACCGCCGCCTATTAAAAGTACTGATGGACCGTCTCCGACGCATTTAAAGCTAGCTTCATTGGATGTGTGTATGTGTGTATCTTTTATGTATGTATGTATTTTTATTGTAGCTGTAGTTCCTCCTAAATAATATAAAGAAATAAAGCTCGAATGTCGCTTATAGAGGTATAGTTAAGCAGCAGTCTTACTTACGGAGGTCCATGAGAGAAAAACGACTCTCTCTTACAGAGGTTTCTGTTTCTCGCTAATAGAGATTTTGGGAGTTTAAAATGACGGGTCCTGGCTATTACTCTCACTTATAGAGTTTTCTCACTTATCCAGTTCTCGTTTATCCAGGTTCGGCTGTATATATAACTTTTATATAACTATAATAATTATACTTTAAATAATAACTGAAAGGAAAATTGAGCTAACGTCTAATATTCAATAAGATTAAATATAAGTAATTAAGAGGATAGGGAGAGTCATCTAATGGCAATTATAATAGAGCCGCTGCACACGTACTCACACATACCCATTGATCGTGCTATATAAACTCTTATAAAATGTACTTTTTTTCTTTAAAATAAGCTTTTACCTTTTTTTTCTATTTCCTCTTTAAACTTATTTTCTAAGTTCTAATTAATTATATTTCTATTTACTACTTATACTACCGTCACAACTACCTGAATTACTATGATATAGGAGAGAAGGCATAGGCATTATAAAAAATTTTTAATTAAAACCAAATTTTCCTTTTTTTATTTTTATTTAAAATAAAATAAAAGGAAGAAGAGAGTAGGAAAATTTTTTCTAATATTTGCATATATGTTCACTTATGTATATATAATACATATATAATACAGAAGCAGAATGATCTGCCATTCAATCTCCATTGCCAGCCACCCGATATCATCTGATAAGCCTAAAAGGAATAACAGATAAATTAATCTCTTGGCAAGAGATAAAACGATTGGAATATACTTGTTATATTACAAATTTTGCTAACCTTCTCTCCACAAATGGCAAGGGCCATCTAGTACCAGGTACCGTAGTTTTCGAAATTTTTCTCAACAGTGTACATCTCTTCTTCTTTTCTCTCTTTAACAAATCTCTTAAATGCAATGCTAGCTCGATCACTGCCGGGACAATAGTGATACCTGACACGGCTTCGCAAAATCAAGAGGCGAAGACGATTAACCATCCGTCAGTATATAATACAGTGCGAAATAAAAATATAAATTTAAATTGAAATATTCGCACCAGATGACTTTCCTCATTACTCTTTTATTATATCAAGATATATTAAGTTAAACTAAAAATTGTAAGTGGCTTTCGCTTATAGGGAAGGTGGCCATAGGAAAACCGATAAGCTACACTAACTCCTCGCTTTTCAGGGGAAATGTTATGTCCACCCCCAAATTTTTTTTCTTTTCTCTTTCTTTAAATTCAAATCGTCCGCGCAGATGGAAGACTTCTCCATGCGCGAAAGCCACAATAAAATAGAAGCTACGCGACTGCTGGTTGACTAGCGGGGACTTCTGCAAACTCAGCAGCGCGAGGTTTTAAAAAGGCGATCAACAGCCAACGCCTTGTCTTTGTTAGTTAATTTGACTTCCGCGTTTAACTTAACGGACCCGTGCCTTGTATAAGTCCCTTATCTTAATTTGCGCTGCACTTAAGACGAGTTCAGACACGGTTTAACCGGCAGGCCACGTATTAATTATAAGTATTAATTATAATCATAGAGAGCCGTAATCTCAAAGTTCTAATTTGCTCTGCACTTAGGCGAGACTACGACCAATAAGTAAATTTTAGAAAACCAGATTCTCAAAGTTCTAATTTGCTCCGCACTTAGGCGAGAATCCGGTCAGTAAATAATTAAAATCTCTTAAAAGCTAAATTTGCGCACTTTACCCTACGGGAGACTGGAGGACGTTAGCTCAAATAAATAAAATTCAAATAAATAAATTACGTTAAATAAAATTTGTGAAAGTGTAAAAGTTTTAATGTTTATAAAAATAAATATCAAAAGAAGTGAAATTTCGTTCGAGTTTGTTAATTTCATAAAATAAGAAGCCCTTAAAATAAGCAACCCTAATCCATCCAATTCCATCCGCTGCAAGGACCAACCAGAGGGCCCATTCAAGGAAAAGGCGCTAACAGCAGCCCCGGAATCACGGATCCGGTAATAATAAATAATCCTGCAAGTAGTAAGTGCATCTATACTCAATAAAAATCCGTGCTCAGTCTCAAACGAAGGCGTGGTAAATTCGTACATCGAAAACGTCCCACATAAATAATTAAAACAACGGAATAAAAAAAACTCCGTTGCGTATTCTTTAAACTGTTTGTCCAAACCTCCACCGTTTACGCTACCGCTCTAAAAACGCCCTTGGACATAACACTATCAATAACTTTATTGCTGCCATAAGTCTCGTAGTTTATAAATGTAACTATTATTTCATAATAAGGAAAATAAGCTCTGATTAAACAAAAGTATTTAAAGTATTGAACTATTAATATTTCAAATTTTTTCAAATTCTATTTCTTGTGAAAGTTCAGTACATGATGAATTCTTTTTGATCCTTTTGTTTTTTTTTTTTTTTTAGGAACTAAATAACATCTTACATTGCATTTGAATATAAATGCTAGATGGCTAGCTAATGCAAACTATAGGCTAACTCTATTAATATGTTAATATTTTCGAATCGCAAATTAATGTCGACAGATATAAATAAAAAAGTTGTATGTAAACTCGAATAAACTCCACAAATTTGTTTAAGTAACAATTTTTCTTTTAAAAATCATTATTTGTATCAAAGATTAAAATTCCGCAAAAAAGTTTTTAATTGTCTTATAAACAACGCATTTATTTATAGCAATTTTTTAAACAATAAGAGATAATAGATATTTTCGATACATATGTGCGAAGTGAGACATTCCCAGGGCTTAAAAATTGAGACACGAGTCTAAGAAACGGCGCGTTTACAATGGGGCCGAGTACGCAGATTACTCCCACGAGCCGTTAGGCGAGTGGGGGTAAGCGTACTCGGTCTCATTGTAAACGTGTCGTTTCTTTTGGCGAGTGTCTCAATTAAGCCCTGTGAATGCTTCAGTTGGGACATATGTATCGAACAATATTTTTTGTAACGACTGCTTTCAAAGTTCAACAGAGAGAAATTATTATTTACAAAGTAATATTGTAATTAGCTGAACTATATCAGTTACCAAAAAATTATAAATAATATAAATAATACGCGCAGTTATGGTTAGTAGTTGCACAGAGTTGAACATATGATCGACAAGCTGCTATTCATGTGTGGTTATTTGGTATGCGCAGGCGCTAGAATTAGTCTCAGTATGCTTGATAGTTTGATTTGTAGTGGTAGTGGCGGACCTATACATTTTATGAATCTTATACATTTATTGTAGTTAATTTTCATTCCCGCACGGTCAAGCAGTTGGAAAGTTTGACTCCGCCTACTTTCCCGCACGCTACTATAGTGTATGCAACCATCACGAGAATACGCAACTTTGCGTTTGCTGAGCAAGGCTCGAATGTTGAGCCGTGGATGCAGGAGTTACAAAAAATAATTTTTAAAAAGTATGAAATGGTTTATTTCAAGTGTTTTTTTGATGTAAGTCTACTCATATTATTGTCTAAGTTCAATATGGTTCTAATAGAGGTATTTGAAGATCACAAAGTTGCTTGACTTTGACGAGTCGAGAATAAAGCACCATCTCATGCGCTTAACGCTATGAGGCATGCAATTCTGTTAAAACTAATAAGTAGTGCTAATTCTCTAAGAACACACTTATCTCATCTCAAGAGGCACTGACATTTATTATTTTCAAAATTATTCTATGTATTAAAGACATCAAAACCACTGTTTATCAGTGTGATTCATCATACGTAATGCGTCGTTTCTGTTATTTAATGTTTCCAATTTACAATTTCAGATCCTCCAGTTTCTGTTAAAACTGAATCCGGACTGCTCGATTCTATATGTGCGAGCTGTGGTATAAAAATTTCTGATCGGTATCTTATGAGAGTCGCAGATAGAAGTTACCATGAGGATTGTCTCGCTTGTGCCGCGTGTGGTAATATATTATCAATTTCTTGTTTCATTAGAGACCTTAAACTATATTGCAGATCTGATTATGAACGAATATTCGGTGTAAAATGTGCTCGGTGTCTAGAAAAAATTAGTTGTTCCGATTTAGTTATGCGAGCTGCCGGATTAGTGTTCCATGTGGAATGCTTTGCCTGCTGTGTGTGTGGTCAACCTTTACCGAGAGGAGCTCATTATGTCTTACGACAAGGTCAACCAATGTGTCGACGAGATTATGAACATGAATATTATTTGAGTGGTTCTCAAGGTGAGTTGAGCTCATATGTATTTGATTTTGTTCACTTGAAATTTTTTTTTTAATGTTTCAAATGTAAACGAGAAAGCTTGATGGGATAAAATGCGATAATTCCTCAGTATTTCTAAAGGACTAAATTCCCTCAGCGATAATAATTCATTAAAGAAATGAAATTGTAACGGGATATTTTGCCCGCTAAATGGTCGCCTCTAATTGTTTGAGTAAGAATGCCACTGAAAGTTTTATAACTGTTTCAAAAAACGAAAGAGTAAAGAATAAATCAGGATCGTAAGAAATAATGGAGTAGAAATGTAGAATGTAAATTGAATCAAATAAACAATATTATTTTATTATTTACCTGTTCTCACAGATTAGAATAATTTCATCCTTATCTATTTTTCATATCAAAGAATGATTTAATACACTCAAATCGTACCTGATTATCTATGCTACTGTGAGCACTGTTAAAAATTTTTGTAAAATCACTAATGTTTTACAAAATGAATATGAGTAAAATTACAAATGAGTGAGTTGCAAATACAATATACAACAAAATTCGAGTAATTAATTTTTACAATTATTATATTGAAACAAAAATTCTAAGATAAATTTTATTTGGATCCACTACCCGAGAATATTCCGATTCCCTATGGATGTTGTCGTTATTCTATTTGTTTAATTTTGTTTTAAAAAGTTTGGACAGAAGTTCTCACGCGTGCCAGTTCATTTATTTTAGTTATTTAAAATATTAACTGCGGTGATTATTCTGCGTCCTTGATTGACCCTTTTGTTGAATATAGATAGTCGTAGTAAATAGATTGGTGAATAGTGGTAGTTTAGTAATAGTGTACAGCGGTGATAACAATAAATTTAACTTTATTACACAAAATGAGCACTTTTAATATAAACTTGTGGTATTTCAGTAACGTAACTTAACAAAATAGAATACTTGTAATAGTAGAATGAATATTATTTAATATTAGAAATATAATAGCGAATTAGTGGTAAATTATGATAAATAGTCATCTAACAGTAGTGAAAAAGAATATTAGATTAATTAGTAGTGTTTTATAAATTTTAGTGAGTAATCAACTAATAGCGGTAATAGAGGTATAGTAGTAAATTAACTAAGAAAAATCTAACGTGGTGATTGATATCGGGCGATAGATCGAAGTGTCGATCACCGCTTAAGTTTTTAGGTTAGTAGTTGATTTTTCCCTCCTCGTGTCGTTCTGTGACGTCACGGGGGCTACACATTAATTTAGCTAGTGTCGGTAACGGAAATTTCGGGTGGTAGTTCGCCAGGCAGATAAAGTCGGGACATTTTGTAGTGTCTCAATATATAATCTACGAAAACATGTAAGGACATCTTCTAAGATGAGTTGTAATTTCTTATCGTAATTATAAACTCCATGCAGTATTTCTACATGCATTGTAATTTTACCAAGCCGTGGGTCTGTTTTCTAAAGAAAATTTCTAGAACTTACAAACTTTATTCATAATTTGATTTACTCCAGTTTTCCGGAAAATTATAATAAAATATTGAAACTTAAATTACTATTAGGAGATTGAAAGTTTAAAAATATTTGAAGTATTTGTACAACTTAGTAAAGGGTGTCAATGCATTCGTTCTATAGCAGCTATTATTTAACAAATAAAATAATAATTATAAATAAATTATTTTTAAAGTTATTTTTTTTATCATGACCGAATTGTGTATATAATGAGTGTTTTTCATGCCATCTAAGTCAATTAACTAGTAGGTGATGTTTCAAGTCGAGAAATGGATATATTCCATCTTCCCTTATTAATCGAGAGATATCCTCTCTGTACATAAGTTCGATGGTAATCCATCAAACTTGAATACTAGTGAAGCTGTAGGCTTGTAGTATCTATTCGAGTAAAGATGTTAATTAAATGAAAGAAATGAAAGAAAATTATTTTAGTGAGAGTAAAGACAGACTTTGAAAAAATAAATGGGGTTGGTTGCCAAGCCAGGAATCGAACCTGGATCTCCCTGATAACATGTCAGGAGTTCTACCAGTTAAGCTACCGGGCCCCTTCCACCATCCACCTTTCTCAGTCCATTCTTATACTCTCGATACTTTACTATCCCTTCCCTTTTACCCGAGCTACGGACTATGATGGTACTATGATGGTAAACATCTTTACTCGAATAGATACTACAAGCCTACAGCTTCACTAGTATTCAAGTTTGATGGATTATCATCGAACTTATGTACAGAGAGGATATCTCTAGATTAATGAGGAAAGATGGAATTTATCCATTTCTCGACTTGAAACAACACCTACTAGTTAATTGACTTAGATGGCATGAAAAACACTCATTATAAATAAAGTAATTTAGTAGATGTTAAACTAAAAGATGCCACCAGATTGTTAAAATACGAATTGACTCACGAATTTTATTCCTGTGTACGTCCCTCCCTGCGTCTAGTGTTGGCAACAGATCCACACTCGGTGTGTCTCATAATTTTACTATTTTTGTATTAATATTAATAATTTATATACTGTATATTATTTATCACTATATAGCGGCAGAGGCAGCCACGCGGTACGCGTCTGACTTTGGCGATCACCCCAGCTAAGCAGCATTGACTGCGGTTAGTACTTAGATGGGTGACCGCTTAGTCAGCGCTGGCTAGCGCGTAGGTCTCCGTAGGCTAGGAAAGGGGACTAATGTTCCGGTAATCGATAAAAGAAGAGTATTCTTATCGATTACCGTGAGCTTATCCCTGCTCTGATTGTACTGGTATGGGTTCTTCTCTGTGGTTTCTCCATGTCACTATTCCAAGAGCCTAGGATGAGGTGAGGAATAGGGCAAACGCAGTACAAAAAGCACAAGCCGGTCCACAGACGCAAAAAACCAGTAGGAGACGAGAGGACCACTGAAGTGGGGGTGAATAGGATAGAAAATAATAGGATGGGACGTAGTCTCCCGCTTCCAGACCAATAGGCTAAAGCGCGAAAGACCTAATAAAAAAAAAAAAAAATTATTTATCACTATTTATTTTTGACAATTTATGGATTATTATTATTAGTTCTTAAGTATTAATTTTGACGTTTTTAGAAAATTGTATTGGAATATTTATAATTTTATTATTTCATTGTATATTGATTATTGGTAATATGTCGTAGCCCTTGCTCGCACGGGTAATTCCCTAAAGTATCGATTGCGAGCACAGAGACCAGTAATTTTTGTTAATGTTTTGAGAGGCCCTCGTGATCGGTCTCGTAGTTTTGAGTAAAATAAAAATCGAGAGACACGCGGTAGTCCGCAGAGTGTAAGGAGTGTGGATCTGGCACCTTCGTTCGAGTTGCCTTTTTTTTGGTGAGTACTCACAAGTGGATCCAGTTTATTATCCGCGCACCACGTTGTCTCTGGGCGAATAATTTGTTACAAAAATCGTTATTAAATATTCGAGTTAGCCAGTATTTATTTATTTTAATTTTATAATTATATTTTGTCGAGATAACCCGTTTCGTATTATTTAGACATAATTTTTAGTTTATAATCAACGTCGTCGTAAATAAATGGTCTACGCAGGATTTAGATTAATAATTAATAATTGTACGCGGCAAGATTATTATCATTGTTGTTTTATAGTCCACGCAGCTAAGGAATTCGACTCTGGACTTAGCATTAAGTAATTTCTGGTCTTTTTAAATAAATAGTTCATTGTTTTATTATTAATATTGCGACTGATTATTAATATTTTGATTTATATAAACTACTTCCTCCTCTCTCTCTAAATATTAATAAATTGTTTTTTCCCTAAATACCTGCAGATCGGCCATGAAAATCAAAGGGATTGTTGTTTCCCTAGCCTGAGGAAAAGCTGCGGGTTGCTTGGGAGGCGAAGAGTTACCTCTCAAGTCATTTTTTTTGTTTATTTAGTTTTTCTTTATCAATTATTGGGTGACCTGGACAAAATTACGTGTCCCCTGACCACTCCACTGTCAGCTGGATCGTAATTTTTGTTACAAAATGTTATACGGAAACCGGAGGAAAACAAAAGAGATAATCTGCAAGATAGAGAGAGTTAAGGAATTTATCTAGAAATAATAAGAACAATAATTCACATCTACCAATTATTTATTATATAATTCACACTTTCACACGCATACTACCTGGAAAATAAAGTTTAGATCTGCTCTGATCAAATCAGATCTGAAAAGATCTGCATTTTCGCCAGATCTGTCCAGATCAAATTTGATCTGATTAGATGAAATCTGATCTGATTAGATCAAATCTGATCTGATTAGATCAAATCTGATCTGATTAGATCAAATCTGATCTGTTCAGATCTGGTTCGATTGAATCAGAATCAATTAATAAAAAAGTTTATAAAATGAAAATAAGAGTAAAATTTATTTTATTTCTACTTGCAAATTAGAAATTATGTATTTTAAATCAATTTTCCGTGATTTAAAGTCGAATTATCGTTGAAAAACAATTTGCGATGTTGAGGATTCGAACCGGGGTCCTCCTGCATGTCAGTCCGAGAGCGTCCCATTCAGCTACTAGAAGTAACTGACTGAGCTACTCTTCCCGGGAAAAAAAGTTTAGATCTGCTCTGATCAAATTTGATCTGAGCAGATCAGATTTGATCTGATCAGATCAGATTTGATCTAAATTTAGATCTAAGTAGATATGAATAGATATATTCTGATCAAACTAGATCCACTCTGATCAAATTAGATCAATCCAGATCAGGTTTGATCAAAATGAAATTAAAAAGTAGATATGAATAGATCTGTTCTGATCAAACCAGATCTGATCAGATCAAATTAGCTAAATTGAGATCAAGTTTGATCAAAATTCAATAAAAAATTAGATATAAATAGATCTGACTTGATCTATGCAGATCTAATTTAATCTGATTATTACGCGGGCAAAAAAGTTTAGATATGATCAGATCAAGTTAGATCAAATCAGATCAAGCTTGATGAATATATGTCATTATAAAGGTGATATGGATAGATCTGATTAGATCTGCTCTGATCAGAGCAGATCTACGTAGGTACGACTTTTTATACTTTATGTTCTAATAAATAGCTCTTACAAATGCACTAACTGATCACGTTTTTTTTATTTAATACAAATTATAACCGAATGTTATTGTTTTAATAGAAACTTTGGATATTTTTCTTTACAATCACGTGCATGAAACCTGGTGTTAAGTAATTTATTTATTCGTAATTAATCATCAAAATTGTTGAAGATCGAGAATTTTCATTTTTCAAAAATTTATAACTCAGAAACTATCAATTTACAGAAAATTTTATAAGAGTAATTTTCATCTTAAAATTGCCTAAAATATTGAAAAAAATATGCGATCTGAAAAAAAATGATTTCTCAAATAATTGTTTAAACAAATGGCTATAAACAATAGATAGCCTGGGATTTCGCAAAAATGACTACGATATTCGGTTTCAGCTGGTCAAAATAAATAAAGTAATTATATTTTGTACACCGACCTCAAAATTTTACGAAAAGATAATACAGCGCCTACACTATTATCTAAAGAGTAGCTCAGTCAGTTACTTCTAGTAGCTGAATGGGACGCTCTCGGACTGACATGCAGGAGGACCCCGGTTCGAATCCTCAACATTGCAAATTGTTTTTCAACGATAATTCGACTTAAAATCACGGAAAATTGATTTAAAATACAAAATTTCTAATTTGCAAGTAGAAATAAAATAAATTTTACTTTTATTTTTATTTTATAAACTTTTTTATAAATTGATTCTGATTCAATCGAACCAAATCTGAACAGATCAGATTTGATCTAATCAGATCAAATTTGATCTGGACAGATCTGGCCAAAATGCAGATCTGCTCAGAACTGATTTGATCAGAGCAGATCTAAACTTTTTTTTCCGGGTTTAGATAATAGTGTAGGCACTGTATTATCTTTTCGTAAAATTTTGAGGTCGGTGTACAAAATATAATTACTTTATGTATTTTGACCAGCTGAAACCGAATATCGTAGTCATTTTTGCGAAATCCCAGGCTATCTATTGTTTATAGCCATTTGTTTAAACAATTATTTGAGAAATCATTTTTTTTCAGATCGCAAATTTTTTTTTAATATTTTAGGCAATTTTAAGATGAAAATTACTCTTATAAAATTTTCCGTAAATTGATAGTTTCTGAGTTATAAATTTTTGAAAATTGAAAATTCTCGATATTCAACAATTTTGATGATTAATTACGTATAAATAAATTACTTAACACCAGGTTTCATGCACGTGATTATAAAGAAAAATATCCAAAGTTTCTATTAAAACAATAACATCCGGTTATAATTAGTATTAAATAAAAAAAAACGTGATCAAAGTTAGTGCATTTGTAAGAGCTATTTATTAGAACATAAAGTATAAAAAGTCGTACCTAAGTAGATCTGCTCTGATCAGAGCAGATCACTTAGGTACGACTTTTTATACTTTATGTTCTAATAAATAGCTCTTACAAATGCACTAACTTTGATCACATATTTTTCATTTAATACAAATTATAACCGGAT